GGCGGTTATGTTTTTAGCATCTTAAATAGTGAGGTGTCGAGAAATTAAGATGAGAGGAAAATTAACTATTACCGAAATGATGACTAAATATTGTTCATAATATTTTTAACTACTTCCCGATGTCATAATGAGTCCTCTTATATACATAATAAACATTATGAAAAGCTTGTCATATATTTGTTTGCAAGATATTACAATCATATCAAGTGAGGTACCCTTCTATAGATTTCGCCTTGAATGCCCGCATTTCTTATATCTCACAATATACAGCGTGAACTGATCTTAGTTAAATGAATATTGAAAGCTGGGAAGCACTGAATGGCTGCTTCGGTTTATATGGGACCCCTAAATAATGCACCTTCAATTCTTCATCATTTCATTTATAAACCGCAAAGTCCAGATATCTGTCCAATATTTCCTGGTTTTGAGTGATCTAATTAAGATCAGTCCGTGGTGTACCCTGTGAAGTTTGATAACCTTCCGCAAAACCCCGTAGTAGTAATTGTCACATCGTCAATAAAACGGAACAAAATTCACTCAACATTACCGTAGAAATAAGCTGAAGAGGATAAAGTCACTCAAAAATTATATATTTACAAAAAGCGTCTTTAATAAATTTACTATCTACGTTGTTCAAAGATCATTGGAATAGCTTACGCGATCAGAGGAGTTTCAGAGTTAAATAATAATAGTTTCAGTGGTACTTTCATTAGGAAATTCTTAAAAAAATTTCAAGGACGAAATGTCGTGTTCTACATGCCATCTATTCCATGGCAACAACTTTTAGGTTTCGTAATTATGAGAAGATGAAAGCACACGACGTGTAAACATTGTTTGTTTTACATATTTGTGGTCACCTTATTGTCACCCACGTTCTTCATTTATTAAGAGAAATACATGACTAAACTACGCATTTAACTATGGATTAAGTTTTCACACTTCATAAATTATTCGGATTTGGAAGATTGCCAAAAGGTTGGAGAAACGGTCGTTCTTTCAAAAAGATTCCGCACATTTCATTGTGATGGATGAATTGAATTGATTTAGCAATTGGATAACATTGGTAGAAATTTAAATAATTTTCAATCATTTTTAGCCTACTTAATAAATTTCAGTAGTAAAATAGGTATACTAAAATTGTGATTTTCAGAACCACATCCTTATATTCACTTAAACTTCAAAAGAAAAATCACATTTTATTAAAACTTTCTGTACATAATGTCATCCATTTGAAATGACGCCCTTACATTAAAGGATGTAAACTTTACATGTACAGGAGTATCAGTTATTCATAAACTTAATGGCGAAAATTCAATCATGTCACACTATTCAACAAGTATTCAATTTTTTTTGGAGAGATTACGTTTATATCTTCGTACGACTCAAATAATTGATGTTCTTTATTTCCAAATATGTTCTCTAAAGGATCTTCCTGAACAACAAGATTTTACTAATATTAGAAATAAGTCATAAGTGAACATGGGGAACGTATCTTGAGTTAAAGTCAAACACCTTTATTATCACATAGATGTAGGAAATGAAATAATTTAAAATTAAGTAGTTATTCTTTGATGAGTTCATATATTTTTAGAAGTATTTATTTAAGTACTGTTTCACAGAATCTTTTATATATAATTAATTAAAAGCATCCTTTTCATTAACTGTTTATTACCATATCTTTTATAGTTTGAAAATACCTGACAGTTAACCATAATTTTATTACATAGCTTGCATCGAACATAACCCAGTTATACATTTATCAAGGTTTTAATGGTCTTCACCTTCACTTATATGACCACACAAACTGTAAGTCAAAATCTTAAAAGGTATCTGTGACCAACTGTTTTGTCTTCTGTTGTTTTGATTGGAGGTTTGGGAATAAAGAAATTCTGTGGCACATTGTGTAGAATTAACATATAATTGATAACATAGTCGTAGGGGGTTGATAATAAATTAACTAAATAAATATTACTTAACGTGCAAACTAATTCGTTCATGCTGAATTGCTAAGTAATAATTATGTTTGACCAATGATATTATTCAATAAACACTTTATTTTCTCTTTATTCCCTAGTTGAAAATTGTCGTTAGTGGTAAACAAGGTAATATAAGGTAGCTGGTTATTTAATAATGATGTGTTACCATAAAAATCGTTTACAGGTTAAAAATTCATTCGTTTATCCTTCAGTATGAGTCTTAGGAATGAATTTATCAATGAAAAGATAAGACAACATAAAAAATTTAAATGAGGTTGATTCGTCAGAAATTTGTTTCTTAACTTAAATACAATGCAAACATTAAGTTATGTTAGTATCAGAAGGGGTTTTGTGGAGATTGTAGTAATTTCAGTTGTTGAGATCGTGAGTCAATTGGAGCCAGAGCACCATGGAAAACTTGGAAGCACTGGATAGCCATTTCGTTCTATCGTGAGAACCCCCAGCGGTGCGCATCCGCGACCCCGCCCCGCGGGGTTCGGACCCAGGACCTATCGGTCTCGCGCGCGAGCGCCTAACCAGTGGACCACTGAGCCGGCCGGCATCCAACGATGTTAATGTCTAACTTCAAATAATCCATTGTCTTCAGTGAGCTGATATTTCACAACAGACCTGGTCGAACTCCACTGGTCACTGCTTCTCACTAGAACTCCAGGAAATACCTCTTGAAGCCAGTCACTAGTGAGCAGGCGGGGTTGTGGATGCACATTGCTGAGGAGTCTCACAATGGGACGAAACGTCCATCTAGTGGTTTCAGGTTTACTATGCTGGTCTAGCTTCAATTGACTCATGATCTCGACTATTGAAATTAAGTTGTGTTTTTTTTTATTTATGTAGAATTTGATCTTACTCTAGCGTTATTCTGGTATTCGATAAGAAAGATCGATCAGTTTGTTTAGTTATAAGAACATTCTGAAAAATTAAGAAATGGAGAATTGTATTCTTTGTCCTACAGATTACTTACTATCATCGTTGATATAAATGGTATATAAGTGTAGGATCAATATTTAACGTATCAGTCAATGTAGTAATCAATAATAATAGATACAACATGACTAGGCTTGATAATTGTAACATAATAAACAGGTAAGTTGGATGGTTTATGGAAGAGTTTTGTTTATAAGCCATATTGGGAGTGAGGTAATTAACTCAGCAAAGGGGTTGAATGATCATAGCACTAAAGTGAGAATGTCCTAAATTCCGAAATTCTAAATCCAACTTAGTAGTTTAAAATGTATTGTACTCACTATAAGACCCGAAGATTCTAGGTTCGATACCTAGAAAGATTATCTGAAAATTAATAATCCAACTGATATGATAACGAATATGGCTTTTCAGTTAATTGGTGATTCACCTTCTATGCATCATGCTCGGAAGTTTCTAATTTAATCTAACAATTGATTGGATAGAATTTAACATAACATAATTGAGATCAACAAAGAGGTTGAAATCAATGTTTTACTCCAGACAAAAAGAATCTCGAAAAATATGATTGATTACATTCAGTAATAGAATAGGTTAATTAGATGGAATTTTACACAGATTTTCTTAACATAAACTGATCGATTCAACTGCATGGATAAAAAGACAGGTATTTCTCATTTATGATACAACTACGTGTTTTCAAGTTCATCATATGCAGAAAATATTTTAGAATACAGTTTGGAACCTTGAAATTTGTTTTGTTTTATTGAACTCACTAAATAAAATTGTGAAATCGATAACCATAAATTAAGATTTTATACATCCAATTTATAAAACTAAGTGGGTGGTCTGCTGAATAATTACGAGGATTGAGATTATAACAATTTTTTTATAAACTTTAGGGTAAAATGAACTTATTTTCTTGAAAATATTTATAGCAACTATCCTACAATAAATTTCGATTATGATTAAATTTTGTTAAGCCATTTTATTAACTCACTTAACAGACAATGTTATCCGAACAGTAACAATTCGTCTATATCTTTGTACTACTATGATTATTACATTGTCTGTATAAATGTGTACTCTTGATCGCATTCTGAGGACAGTCCATGGGTGAATTCGAGGAAGCCTACTGACATCTTTCGCTAGCTTAAATATCGCTCGATGAATCCCTCTCTTCCCCATGTATATATGTACTCGAATCCTTTTGAGTGCCTTCATTTTGCCTTGCTTTGCGCTTATTCAATTTGACTATAAATTTATCTCTGTATTTGCTCGCATACATATACTCGCCTCGCTGGTTCAAACTCACTCTATGCGCTTGTAGCTAATAAATTGTAGTTGCTGCTTCTTATTGCCTTATGATTTCAAACGCCGTTGGGATTTATATAATAACGGTTATCAAGATGATTGATTAACGAAGCTAAGCCACTGAGTACTCTCCATTTGTGTCTCATTTCCGTTTCCATTGTTCGAAATATGTCTGGAAATCTTTAGAATTCAGGCTCTTCAGTTGCTTGGTCTTCTATTTTCGTACATACCTTTTTCAACCGCAAATGATTTTCTAAAATCATCACAGATTTTCTTATATTATATTTGTCAATAATTATCTGGAGTTACAATGTGTTTCGTACTTGAAGGAAGTCCCCAGGAAGCCCTAGAGAGATTTAGTTCTGGTTGATGTTCTTCAATAATCTGTTCATACAGTCTTGAAGAAATCGATATTCTATCTGAGATTCGAATAAGGATCATTTGATTTTATGGACCGAAATGCTATATCAGAACAAAAGTTTAAAAGGCAGGGTAGAGAGGAAGTATACATCCTATTAAGTTTGTAGAAACGCTTTAGTAATAAATCCCACCTAAAATGAAACCTAAATCCAATGTTTCATTCAAATTACTTTGAACATGTATGACACAAAAGAAAGAATTATCATGATGTCTAACCAGTTAACATTACGCACCGACTGAAACTTGATCAATATAGACTAACCAACACTAATGGCTCCTGCTAATCATCGTCTACACGTTTTCAAAAATCCTGTTGATACAAAGTGAATTTATTTATTACTTGTGCTTCTCGAGTTAGCGACATGACGATTATTAGTGAGCTTGTAGTGTATTGTGCGCTACTGATATCGACCGGTATAAGTAGTATGTATCACCAATCGAAAGTGGAATACCTAACGGAAGAAGGTTAAGAAGATCGAAGGAAAGAGAACGAGAACAGAGAATGATTGCTATGGAAACAAAGGAACAATGAAGTCTGAGACGATTGACTGGTATTTTGCAAATGAAGTATTTACTGTATGGTCCTCAGATTTTACTAAGAGATTCTGTAGTTTTGTATTCAAATACATTCGATTGTCCCCACTACTGTTTCCGTTCACTACAGTAATTACAAAAGAAGAAATTAAGTCAATCCAAATCAAGAAAATTTTGTACACATACAATCAAGGTATTTAGACAGAAAATGAGTGCGTATATACACACAAATATACATTCTGCTAAGCAAATAAATGAGGTCAATGTAATAATATTTTTTTGAAAAGAAATAACACGCGGATGTTTTCGTTCAGAGCCAATCACTAAAACAACTTCATTTCTGCAGTAATAAATGGTTGGATATATAAATAGAAAACGATTAAAGTAGCTAGAAAAGTTTCCATAAATCTTGCCAATTTCATGAAAAGATTGTTGTTAGAAATTTAAATTCATTTAAGATTGAAATGGAACTACAAAACCTGTCAAATTGTATAATGATAATAAACACTGTAATTGATAAACTAATAAATTTGAGTGAATTATTAATTATGAAAGGAATTATAATCATTATGTGAAAAGATAGTAATAGTACACAAGAAAATGTAACGTTATCATTTCAACTCTCCTTTTTGATTTCATTTTCCAATATTTGTCGTTGTCATAATCACAGGAAGTACACAGGGTAAAATACAGTAAATGATTAATCGATTAATTGTATACATTCAGCGAAATGTAGGTCTAACGGAGGTTGATTCCAATTCACGTGATTTAAATCTGGGATCAAGTAAATTATAAATCATGGTGATTAGTTTTTAGCATACAACGCTTCTTTTGAATGTTTTATAAATTGAAGCTTCATTTTATTCGAACACAGTAATAATAATAATAATAATAATAATAATAATAAAGTTCAACCGTCGACTATTAAGTCGTGGTCGAATTTGCTCTTTTATAAGAATGAAATTTGCCCCACTAACCGAACTTAACGTGCCTGTTTTCATCAGTACCTGGATAGTACTTACAGGTTATGTATATTATACATATTGAAGGTCATAAAATATTATATTAGTCACAAATTATGTAGCTGGATAGTTGTGAAAGTTCCACAGTTTATTTAACTTCGTTTTTATTGTAAACTCTCTAGCTATTGAACAGAAATATCTTTACATTCACACTAAATAATAATCTATGAACTATGCAACATACTATCTGCTAGAAAATTTATATCGTTAATTTTCTTTTCCAGTTACAGATACGGTTACCTACATGATTCTCTGACTATAATTATGACAATATAAGAATTAAGTGTAGTTAAACATCTTAATAATGGATATTACTCAGTCAGCGAAACACCTTAGATCCAGTAGTGAATCGGAGGCTTCTATGCAACAATGAAATGTTAGAAATTCACTTTTCTATTCATTATATCTGTGACTAATTCTTTTAGCTCAATAATCCCAACTCAGAGATCATGACATCCAGTGATATTTGCTGGTTGAAAACACTTGATAGGGTATCTTGGCTCATTAGTCTCGATTCAAATCCATTGGTCTAATGAGTATACACATGAATGTTTCATGAGTGAAGAAATCCTAAAATATTATCAAAAACAGTTTTAAAAGTTCTACACTAATATGCAAATACAAACGTAAAAGACTTAATCTTTGTAATATACATGGATAGTGATGAACTAAATTTAAGATGTGCATAAACACCAATAATTGTGTATTAGACCAAGTTGTAAAAAGTGGCAAGCTTTGAAAATTATGTCTGAGAAGGTTAATTATATGCAAAAAAATAAAATCTATATTATATTAACAATTTATAATGCATAGAATAAAACTGATGACAATAGTTAATTAGGGTTTTAGTTTTATGTTTGAACATTCATGTATATATAGTATTTGATAATAACAAATAAAGTTAAAATCCACTCAAAGGGTTTCTATCTTGATTATGTCATCATTAATATTGTTAATTGCAGATGTATGAACTTAATCATGTGTTTAATTATCGTGAAACAAAGTAAACTAAAATAAAACCACTAGTTCACCCCCAAATTCTGTTTAGTGAAGTTTTTATAGTGAAGAAGCATTGGACGTTATGCCGAAGCATAATTAAAAGTCGTAAATTAATAAGTGCCAGTGTCTAATCTGAGATTATTAAAGTTAATCACCTTTTGATTGACTTGTTTAAGTGTGATTATTAAGAATTTTTAAACAAGTATGAGTACTTTTCAAGTCTCAGTTTTACCTATGTTCTAGTCTCCAAGACAGTTGTATTTTAAATAGTTGAATCTATGAGTTTATCTAAGTCGAACCATCATTGAAATCTCGGAAGCACTGGAAGGCCGTTTTGTCCTAGTATCGGACTCCCCAGCGGTGCACATCCACGATCCCAAACGCGGGACTCTAACTCAGGACCTTCAGTCTCGCATGGGAAGATCTAACCTCTAGACCACTGGGTCGACATCCAACAGTGTGAATGTCTGACTTCAATTGATCCATGGTCTTGCGCAACCTCCACCCATTGTCTGAAGTGGATAACCGTCACTACTAGATATAGATTGAACCCCACTGGGGATTTGAAACATCTTACATAACTTACTTTTCCAATTTAGACCATTTTACCAAGTACTGTTTTAACAGTTTTTGTCACTAATCAATAATCAGAGTAACATTAATCTGTACCAAATTTATAAATGATCCTCTAGTCTAATAATACCTAACGAATATCATTTAACCTGCTAAAAATGAGTACTTTGATGTTTATAGAGTATAAACATAAAGGCTGATATCATGTTAGATCTACTCTAAATCACGTTAATTGATTTTTGTTTTGGCAAAATAGAAAATAATTTATTATATGGTATTGAACTGAATGCTGAAAGATTTTAGTGTTCTATACCTTCAACGTAGTTTTACCCCCTTTGCATTCTGGATGCCCTTCACTATTGTTGCGGTTAGAGATAGTTTTTCCACATTGGTTTTAATCTAATAATTGTTTTCCTTCCTCCATAAGCATTATAAATATATTAGTAATCTTTAGTTGTTCGTGTCCTCAATCATTCTTTCATTCAAGAATTAAGATTCGGATGATACACATGAATACAAAGAGGACTTTTCAAGAGGGAAAAGTAATATATTTGACAAGTCCTAGTGGATGGTACATTGCTGCAAGGCAACATAATAGTTGAGAGATTCATGTGTAAGTGATCGATTGACAAACAAGCGAGGGTTATCGTTCATATGTCCCTATCTAGATCCATTATGCAATATATACACATGAATTGTGTACCTTATTATTTGAATTTCCCAAGAAAACCTGCCATAAAGTTTCTGTCTTCTTTCATTCTATAGCATGTTGGTTAAGCATTAAAAGTATGGATCAATAACTCTAACATTTAACTCATTCTTTTTGTAATCCTTCATGATGATATAAATAACTCTTAGACGTAAATACATGGACATGACATTTCAACTCTGTCTTCGTTACATAGAATAATATCATCAAAAAATAAGGAAAATAATTAATGCACGTTACTGTATGATTTAGACTCATTCAATTATATACTTAAATTTTATATATTAAAAAACAACTAAGTAGATTTCAACCAATGATCACTTATCCTCAATACATGTAGAGAAAATCCATCTAGAATTGATTTCGCTCATAATTAACAAACTGAGTGTTGCAAAACATGGACGAATTCCATCATGTTAAAAAAGATCATCTTATACTAACTTCCAGCTATATATTAGAGAGAAGAGAAACGGTGTAGAAGGGGACTTATTGGTTAGTGTTATAACTTGTGGCCTTGTGCCCTATTAATATATAACGTAATGATATCACCAATTAGAGAATAATGATTTATCGAACGAACCAATGACGCGTAAACCAGTACGGGCAGTCTAGAGTCCCTATCGGTTCTTCTCCCTGTCTATCCCTGACTGTTGAGTCCAGAACACCAATCTCAGCCTCCGCGATATGAATCATGTGTTTCAAACATACTGGGTTTATAGATATCATTACCAAGATTTGATTTGATAATTTTGAATAAATTGAGCATTGGGTAGATTGTTACAAATATATTATTTATTTATACTGGGTTTATATACAAACCAAACAGACCACATCGCACTACGAAATACGAAACAACATTTGTACAAGATCGAACCAAAAGTGGTTGTGAATGTGGGAGACTACATTAATAGACTGAGTATAACTCAAGAACGGTAAATCGTATAATAACAGTCTATGGGTCAAAATAAAGCTTATAATGAAAGGAAAATAAATATGCATAGTTTAGCTACGTAATAATTATAAAATAAAAATATATGTGTAGTATTAGTCCATAAATGGATCCCAACAGTTAGCATTTATTACTCTCATCAGGATATATCAGTTAGGGATTTCAACTTTCAATCACTAGGTCTCGGTCAAAAGTCCTTTTAATACTTTGGTTCGAGGAGACGGGAAATATCACTAACCAACACACATGAAGTTTGTCTCAAAGACGAGGAACATTAATCTGTACTTGGCAAACGAGTTACATTATTATCATTATGTATTAAATAAATGGAAAACTTATGCGAAACAGTAATAACAGATAAAAGTACACTCTATTGTTGAGTACTACCTTTTACGCGTTAAATAATTATTCGGTATAATTTGTATTTAGTGTATTGTTTAATCGAAAGCTAGAAAATACTGTGAAATGGGCTCAAATGAAAACTTGGTTATTGGGATGGTCGTTTTTAGAAATTGTTCAGTTTGATAGCTTACAAAAATGAATTGATTTGACAATTAACTCTTAGTTGTAATGTTTTTCTTTATAACTAATAATTGTGACCATTTTAATAAACACTATCACAAAGATAATATATACATCTCTTTGATGAACGACATTAAGGATACTATTCTAATCAATGGTTTCAGGCTGTGAATATTAAATATTATTGATAATTCACATACCTAATCAATGTATAAATACGTTAAAACATCTTACTTTCGAAGTGGAAAAATAAACTTAAATAGAATGTTTTATTTGTATCTGTAAATGCAATTACATGTAACTGGAAATATTTAGAAAATCGCATACTTCATTATCTTCATCATGAAATTAGTTTTATATTCAATCTCATTTTAAGCATTTTTTCCCAAAGAAATAAATGGCTGTAGACTGAACAGATAAAATGATGTAAAAAAGTGTTTTAAAGTAAAGCCTTTTGACCTACTTTTCACTAACAGATATTTCCTTGTTTGGGTCTACAAAAATTATTAATGTACATTGCACACACATGTGTGTGTGTGTGTGGCAGAGCAAGAGTGTTATCATAACGACCGTATTGTAAATGCATTCATCATTTTAAATAGCGTTAAAAATCAAACAAGCTAACTAGTAAATAATTTATAATTTAACACAGAACTTAATATTTTATACACTAGGTAAATGTTTCAATAAAATGGTTTGGTATTTTGGCACTGATAATCATATGATTAGTTAATGAATGAGTATATTTCAATCTTTTGAACTATCAATTTAAGATAGTGTTACATGCCAAAAAAGTGTCTGACTTATGAAAATGTCTGGGTGATTCAAATACATATTAGTTGGAGGCAGGTGATAATAATTGGGCTTTGATCAATCTGTTGTGGAAGTGGCTTAGTTACATAAATTTGTGGGGGACCTGATGTAAATTTCTAGGCCTCATTTTTTAGAAATGTATTTGTTGTCAGAAACTAACTATCTCTTCTAATGCTGTGTACTTGTACACTCACAAAATATGTACAATATCTGGCGAACATAGTTTCTGAGAAACGCAAGCGGTTTCATTTCAGTGGTTAGCCTATTTTCCCCTTTCTCTATCCTTTGGATAAACTAAAAGGGATTACCATACAATTCATACATCAAACCTAATAGGGAATAGAAAGAGATAATACGGAAGCAAGACCGATTGTCAACATTTACCAATGAGTGTGAATGGTATCCAATTACAAATAAAATATTTATAATTAACATGGTTACAATAGAGAATTCTATTTCAACATTACATATTTTGAACAGTGAATTCTTCATTGCATCCAGTAAAACCAGTATTATTATTCGATAGAAGTTGGTGTCGCAACATATAGTTGACTGAGGTCGCTAACTAGAGAGTAATCCCATGAAACGTCTGAATGATGTTTAATTCTTAGTGAGACTCGTCAGTTGGCCTACACAGTTAGTGGGGGATGTCTTTAAACGAAGTTTTGAGTCAGACAAGTTAAGATGTTTGCAAGAACAGAATTTTCTAATAGTTGTCAGTACATACTGCTTTTGAGAAATCATAAGCACGAAATGAAAGTTCAAAGCTTTATACTGTCCATGTAGCAGAAAATTTGATGTATGGTAATGCTAATTTATTTATTCCGTTTTCTAGACTGAAGATGAAATTCAAGCTGCTTGATGCAAGCTGTATGAACTCTTAGCCTTGTTATCAAATATGAAGCATTTAAAGCGAAGTTTTGAACAAAATATAGATAATATCAGACTTGGTTTCAGTATCACGTTACTTAAATTTATGCCGTTATGGGCAACTTTGAATAGTTTTTGACATGGTAAGCTAGCTGTGATAAAGAGATATGTAAAGAAAGTTTATCGTAAAGTGCTTCAAATACAGTAACGACTTAAAATAGTTTTGAAGATATTGCTTTTAACATCATCGAAAATCATCCCTCTATTGATCATAAACTAGTCTTAAATTATTCGAACATCAAAATCTTAGGAAATCGATTATTCAAACTGGTAACAGGTATATTTTAGAAGGAAGTTGATCAGTACTAGAGCTTATTTAGTGAAATAGTTTGTTATTCAAAATTTACTGAGAGTTTTGTTTTAAACTGCGATCAACTTATATTAATCAAAATTGTTCTTCGTTGTGCACCTATATCTTTTCTTATTTGTTTACTGTGCACGGATGAAGAAGTATTATTTCAGGTGTCAAATCTAAAATAAGGAGGGATATTTTGGTGAATGAGGATAAAGTCCTGCCGAAATAAACTTTTCACATTTCTTAATGTATGTAAATAATCGTAGGACTGACAACTCTGGTACTGGGTGATGCAATTTAAATTTTCTCAGTTTACATACACACTTTGGTAAATGAGTGCTAACAAGCACACAAACACATGCCGGAGCTTCGAATGTTTAACATTTTGTATGAACCTTCTAACGAAAATGATAAATGTGTCTAAGTGAACTAAATGGATTCATGAAATTCAGCAAATCATATCCATTGAATACAATCGATACACAAAGATGTGTATAAAATTTCAAAAGATAGTGGCTATTTCGTGTATATTATCCAACCTTTAATGTATGTGAATGTTGATCCTGACGTCTGATATATATTTGAAATATTTGATAGACTAATTATACAAAAATTAATGGATTATCTGAGTTTTATTTTCTTCATTCTCTGGTGATTACTTTAAATGGAAATTAGATAAATTAGTGCTTCAACCCATTTCACATTTGAATGAAGGATACAACGAATAGTTGTGACTGAGAGATATTTGAGAGTTTTAAAGTAATGCGAAACAGTTGATCAACGCTATCATTTCGAAATTCTTTACTTGGTATCGATTCGTGATACAAGTTATCTTAAGGCTGAACAGTCGTTCACACAAAAGTACCTGATTAGACGGTTTATTATCCGAGGTTAATTTGGTCAGCTGATATCTTATTGGTTAAACTTCAAGTAGAAAAATCTTTAGTTTATACCAAGGTCTGGCTTTAGTTCAACAACCATTGAAACCCGTAGCCATTGGATAGTTAAGAATCCTAGTATGGGGCTCCATATCACTTTACATCCACAATCACATTGGGAGTCGAACCCAGTAACTGCAGGCCCAACGGTGGGCGCCCAATCGTCTAAACCACGTAGTTAGGATCAATAGTCCGCATTTCTAGCAGTTAGTGTAGTTAATGACCATATCACAGACCAATCAGATCTTATTTCTTCAGATTAGTATAATGGGATTACATTATATTTTAAAAATTCAGTAATTTCAACCAGATAGATTGTTTTCACAGGCAATGATCTCATATTTCAGCTTTAGGATGTCTATTACAAACTCAATCCTTACCGAAGAGACGAATGTTATTTTGTGTAGATTTCAAAAATTTAAAACCAATTTTTTTACTGGCTAACATCATCTAGAGGATCACTGAAATTCAAGTTATATCCTAGTTTGAGTATTCTAGCAGTTCACACTTCCTACCCTAAGTTATTCTACATCAATATTTCACATAAAACGATTATTATAATATAGATTAGGATGTAACATCACTACAACTCTGATCATATATTGATCAGAATAAAATTATTATAAACTGCGACCCGATGGTGACTATTCATGAAATTCGAATAAATTATCATTAAAAAAAATAAAAACCAAACTTACAAAAAAATATCTTCGGAATTCTCATCCTTAAGCAATGAAACAACAATCATTCAATGTGGTCTACAAGTTTGCTCGCTCAATAATTCTAGTTGAATGATTACCAGATCGTCTGTGATTGGGAGAATCTGTAGGAGTTTGACAGAGATTTAACGTTGATGAAGTTACATGTAGTCCTTTATTCTGTCTTTTAAATCCTGAATAAAGTGCATTACGATAATCAATAACTTTTCGAATTGATTGCCCTGATCGATTTTGTGAAACAGGACTATAATAAGAAGTTTTGGATGTTTTATTAACAAAAGCAGGTGATTGTACTTGTTCACAAGATAAATAATGTAAACTTATATTGTTTTTAGTACTGTTAGTATTTTTATGCAGTTGATGAATCGGTAAATAATAATTTGTTTGACTAGTTGGCACTTTTATTCCATTTGACTGAATCTGATGATTAGATTTATGATTATTCAATTCTACGTCAACTAACGTTTTTTGTGGTGTACTTCGAATATTATGCGTACTATGAGAAGATTGTAAAACCTATATTATGATTTTAAAAAAAAAGGATAGATAGTTATGTTAATGTAAGATTGGAGCATATAAAAAATATTGAGTTCAGTAGGAATCGATTAATATGTACATAGTTTTATTCACGGTCTGAAGTTATTTGATACAGTAATCAAAACAGGAGAATACAGAATGACTCTAATCTTAATTTTAACGTAATATCATTTATCAAATACAATTTTATGAATGTGGCTATGAAATCTACTTATATGGTTGAGATTTAATCTGCAGTTTGAACTTTATGCAAGAGTAAGTAGATTAATTAACCAATGGTTCATACATTGTTAATTTAAATCATTTCACCAAACAGCTTTTTTTAAAACTTCACAAATTACGACTATCCTCAATTTTTTCAATAATAAATTACTCAATAAACCGATAAAACAATAACAATGATAACTTATTCAAACGTAGTCTACCTTATTAACAGGCATTGTATCACTACCGTTATTTTCTGCAGATTCACGTTGTCCAATTAAGTTTACTGAACATAAAGAATGAGTTGATGACCAAGAAGAAAAGGATGATAATGTAGGACTTCGATATGATTTTGTTAAATGTAATAATGAATTTTGACTTTCATTTAATTGTTTTGATGCTGGTTGAAATTTATTCTCATTCAAAAATGATTTTTTTGTACTAGATGATAATTCTTGATGTTGGTGACAATTGGATTTTAGCTTATGAGATGAATCCGATGAAAGTTGATAATACGAGGGAGAACCATGATAGGAGTTCATTTCTGATGATTGATCACTGCCACAGTAAACATCTTGTGTATGATTCCCGTTTAGCAATAATCGATTGTTTGGACTAGTGTCTAAACCAATATTATTATTATTATCATTTTTATTATAACTATCAAATGTATCATGATTGATTGTCTGTGTTCCTATGTCACTAAAACTCCTAGTTGTCGTTGAAACAGTTGTATTGTACGACTGAGACTCTTCCATATCCAACAAAGAGGATGGCACCGGTGATGATGATTTTGTTGTAGTTGTATAATTACTGAGATAAAATATTTATTTTAAAAATAAACTGAATGGAACTTTTTCATATAGAAAGAAAATATTAGCGTGTAAATATATGATAAACATACTAAATGAAAAAGACCTATAGTTGGACATACATTAACGGTGAACTTGATTCAGCTAATCAACAATGATAATACAAGTAAACCCTATTTATTCTTGGTACAGAGAATTGTGGAGATTGTTAATTTTATAGTTTTACATCACAGACTGACTTTTGCCCAACAAATATTGAAAACTAGGGAGTATTGAACAGTTGCTCTATCCCAGCAAATAATTCCTAGAAGAATTATTTTTGGCTAATTAGTTCACATGAGATAACTTAGTGGAGCAGTGGGATTGTCTCGGTTCTAAGAGGACAATCGATTTGTTGATCGATTTTATTATCAAATAATAAAGTGAATCTTACGGAAGTAACTTCAGATAAGGTAGAATGAATATTTAAGGTCTCAGTGTTAATTAACTATACAACTGAAATCGTTATACATAATATGAGGTTACTTGACAAAATATTCAAGTTATTTGAAAGCGTAAGGGAAAAATGAGTAGCTAATTAGTGAATTTAGAATTTTCTGACCAAAAGGTAAAGTATATTGTTAGTAACTTTTGAGTGTAACAGAATTTGATGGACAATTTATTAGGAACTAATCTATTCATATAAAACTATTCTATAATAAAATCAATAGTTGAAATCTAAAAAGAAATTAATAGAATAGTTGAAAATTTGATTCAGATATATTACAATTTCATAATTATTTCTGAAAGTTTGTATATAATTGCAAGATTACAAGAACGCCATGAAGCTAAATTTTTGATGGAGTCATGTTTTACATTCATTAACATGATGTACCTTAACATATAACATGATAAACAGAGAATAATACAATTTAAAAGCCTCAAGTTTGAAGTGAAAAACAATGCTTTAAATCTCTAACTGGTTTTATTGAAAATGTTTAGAGGTACCATGCATATTTGTTAGTCCTTGCATATAAATTTCGACGTCTAAGAGTTGACAGATTTTATTTGACGATCAAATCGAACCGATCTGCTTCACTTTTTTGTAGTAAGATAATCAAATATTTCAAAAAGGGAAACTGATTTCAACTGTTGACATTAATAACCTTATTCCATTTATAGTAAAGCACTACTTAACTTAATATTTTAGTACAAATTGGACAATGTCTAGTTGATCAACTATCTGATCATCAGGAAAAATCCATGTAATTATCTATGAACATATCCATACATTTGAATCTGTGACCATGTTGCATTCTTTGCTATGTCTATTAACTAGATAAACACAAATTAATGAAACTTTCCATAAAATACATCTACTCAAATAGTTACAGTTCCAAATAAGAAAATATCAACTAAAATGAGAAACAAACATTCAAGTTAACAAAAGGTAGGACGTAATGTAAGATAACAAAGAATAAACATTCATAAATTTTAACATTTTCGTAATGTAAGGATAATTACTGAATGCTTCAGAATTATCACTATCGATTTTCACTCAAGTGAAGTCGCTAATGAATCGATAACTTAAGAAATCCAGGTAACATTGAGATGAAATTTATAGCACAATCTAATCACATATTGACATATTAAGATATTTACATATCAGAAATAAAAGGGTCAAACTACATATAGAGTGTATTGCACTAAAATACCACACAAGGTCCTAATAAACTTCCTCTTATTATACATATTATCTGAAACTCACCAAATATGTTAACTGTTCTAAACTTTAGAAATATTTTACAAGCACATTAATTTCATACAGTTTTCAGGTGACGTCATGATTGATTTTCAAAAAGAATCAACAAGAATAATTACTTATTAACTTTTCTACCTTGACTGTAGTGTACATACTTATCAATTAACAAATAATGAATAAGGATCTCACTAAATCATACACTAACTGAAGTTAACATTGTAAACTTTTTGATTTCAACTCAGTGGTATTGTGGTTGTATCTAAACTTAACAGTCCTGAGTTCAACTCACTATATTGTCAGGGAGTTCATCGATTTCTAGTGTTCAATACCTCTTCAAGTGACTTCATTTGATTAAAATTAACGTATCATGTTGTTATTGTTATTATTTCTACTCCGGAATTCGTCTTAATAGCTTCATCTCACTCTATTAATATGTTTTGACAACTTGAACCGATACACGTACGTGCCAGGTTCGAAGGTGTTTACAACTGACTACACGACGAATATATATGCATTACAGATGAACTAAAATTAGAGTAATCCCTAATCAGTTGGGATTGGTTTAGAGTTCCATCATGTACAGTATTAAATGTTAATAATACTAAGGAGAAACAAATTATTAATCTTTAGTTTTCACTAACAGCTAAAATCCGTACTCAAATCTCTACAAACTATTGAGATTAATAAAATTCTCTACACTTATAAATGTGTAGTACACCAATCCGCTAGGAGTAATGATTTATGGATAAAGCCAAACAATCTTTGATATTTTATAAATTGAAATAACAATATTTTAGATAAAAAAGCGAGGCGAATATATGTATTATCTATAATTAAATATGGATAACTATTTTAATTAAATCTGTTTAGTTAGCTTTCAAATAGTAGTTACTGGAAAGTTCTCCCATTATTTGGCTTATGCTTAAAAAGCTTAATAATGATGCATAAATCTGTGTTTTAAATAGTGTGAAAACAGATTGTTTATTCAGAATATATTCGTTGAATTTAGACATTAACACCACTGGTTGCCGGCTCAGTGGTCTAACGGTTATGCACTCGCGTGCGAGACTGATAGGTCCTGGGTTCGAATGTCGTGGCGGGCGGGGTCGTGGATGCGCACTGCTGAGGGGTGCCGTACTGGAACGAAACCGCCGTCCAGTGCTTCCAGGTTTTCCATGGTGGTCTAGTTTCAATTGACTCACGATTTCAACTACTGAAAAAAGATTGAACAATCGTAATGTGATGAACAATTCCAAACCTAATTTATTTGTGATATTTGATCTGATTAAAACAATGTTACACTATGAAATAATTGAATCAATAACTGTGAAGAATATAATCGGTACAATTATAGATCATTAATAGATCAATCAATTTCCGTGACACTTTTTATTTTCAGAAAGCTGAAAAGAATTATCACATAATTAGATTTATTCACAATTGATCATCTTTTTGATGACATGTCTGTGTTTAGTGTATTTGCGATTAAAATTCTTTACATGAAACATTATGAGTTTCAAATGGGTACTTAAAAAGAGTAAATGATGTTAAAAGTCGATATTCTGATTTATGTTAATCAGCATGAATTTTATATGGAATAGATCTATATTTATTACTAACATCAGTTCATGACTTACAAGTTGCAGAATATTTAATAAGTCATTTTAAAGGGATTTTTTTACAAGAAATACGCTGTTGGGAAAAAGAGTTTCATCCTGTATGAGATTTCCTCAGCTGGATGTATCTACACCCATGTTAATGTTTACATACCCTATTAACGTCTAAATACATAATTAAACAACTCTTTTTAACGTATGATTTAAGGTAATAGATAGGACTCATCATAGTTGAGTTTTCATGTTTGCTAATAGTATTCCAAAAGCCTTTTTGTTGTCAAAAGCATCGTCGTTAAGGAGACCAACACTTCACTATTTATGTCATAGTTGAAAACGAGCCTAGTTTCAAGCACTATGTAATAGTACAATCAAGAGAACTAAATTACATTGAAGCACACAAATAAATAACTAATATATTTGTGTACTCAATGGTAAGTGAAAGATAAGATTTCATTGATACCTATTAACTGATTCATTGATATAAATCACCTAAACATAAATATAATTGAGTTGGTTACTCAACGATATTTTTGTCAACTTGGATACCATTGGTAATAATATGTAGTGTATTCTGAACACTATGTGTGGAAAATTCGGGAATATTTGCAACGGACGTTTTATATCCCAAATGCAAAATATTACTTTATAATTTCTCTGCATAAATACCTAATTTAACCACAGAAAATAAAGTAGTTGAGAGCGTTGACTAGAATAGTTATATTGATAGTAACATTAGTAATGATAGACCAGTTGATGAAATCATTGATAGAATTTAAAACGACTCATTTTACTTTTATCAAGTTATGCTAGCTGTTGATATCCATTTATTAGTCAAAGGGAGAATATACTGTACTGTATAGCTTTACCAATGGTTACACATTTTGTTTCTGACACTTAGGTTTTCGTCATTGTTGTGACTTTATGTCCGGCTTTTTATCACGTGATTTATCCACCAATCAAAATACGGCTTATACAATCTTAGCACTGTGCCAAACCAATGACGTTCGACAGGTATGAGCAGCCTAGCGTCCTTATTGGTCCTATGTTCGCCTAGCCCGTCCACTTGAGACCAGAACACCAATACCAGCTTCCACTATGCGAATCGAATCATTTATTTCAGGCATACTGGGTTTATATATATCAATCAAACAAACCGCAACGCACCATAAAATAGGAAATAACATTTGTACACAATAAAGCCGAAAAGTGGCTGTGAACGTGGGAGGCAGTAGTCAATAAACTGAACACAGCTTAAGAACCGTAAATCGTACAATAATAATATATAGGTCAAAATAAAGCTTATAACAAGGGGAATATAGATATGCATAATCTAGTTACTGAATATTTATACCATGAGAATATATAAATAATATTAGTCCATTAATAAGTCTCGGACGTTACTCGTAATGTAATCTTCACTAGGATATAACAGTCATGCTATTCTGTATATAAATAATGTCTATAATCTCCTTATATTTATTAACACAATCAGTAAGTTTATGGTTCCACTGTTCAGTCTACTAGTCGGCTCCGTCGTTAATTTATTCATTAAACCAAGTCAGCCACTCCGAAATTTTATAAAATCAATTGAATGATCAAGTTCGTATTTTTTTCAAAAAAAATTGAGCAACCGATTATTGAACACATGAATAAAAAATTAATTTAACTTGGGTTTGACTTTATGCATATCGTTTTTTAGTCGAATAGATAGACAGACAGAATGTAAATATGTCATCAGTGTCTATCTATTGATTTGAAAAAGAAAGGTGATGAATAGATAAAAAAAAACTTACTTTCAAATTGATGGACTAGAAAAGGGTTTTTAATGGAGTTGAGTAGTTTTGCCTTTACCAAATGAGACAGTGGTCTGAAAAAATTCCGAGTGTATATAAACCGTCAATTCATTTGATTCTATGCTCTTTTCAAACTCTAATAATTGAGATTTGATCCCTAGTAAATGTCATTGGTACTCACTAACTAAACTGTAGGAAAGAGCACCATTTTAAAATACAAATATCTGAAGTTGAAAGTGTGAATTATTGGGTGCCAACTCTGAAGCTTGAGGGACGTCTTCTTACCGTGAGAATTGAATGTTATCAGTTCGATCCCTACCCAAGTAGATGTTGCTCATTATTGAGAAACTCAATACTAGGAAGAAACAGTTTTCATGTACTTATTCATTATTAGTGGTTGTCCAACCGAAGTCGGTTGATACTATCAACTACAAGCTTCCTCAGTTCCACAAACTCAAAGAGAGGTAAAATTGTGCTAAATTATTTGAAAACATCAGATTCTGAATTGAACAACGTCTTGATTGTTACAAATTTGAAACAAGCATCCTATCGTTACCTTAGTAAACGATAGTGACATATAAATATAAATTTAAATTCCAATATGTTTTTTTTCAGTACAGCTCGTTTGATTAAATACTTTGTGTCTGAAATATATTCAGATAAATTTAATGATAATCATATCTCAATTAGCCTTGAAACGAATATCCTGAAAAGCAGTTTTTCGTAGCAATAATCGAGTGGAGTGTGAGATAGTAACTCACTGGTGAAAGTAGATAAAGACATTCTATGGTGCGAATTGAGTGATATTGTAAATAGAAACTTTCGAGTCTCGATTGAGTGGTTAATTGACATTGCTCTGGCCAAGAAAAATAACATGAAGGCAATGGCCTCGAGCTCGTAAGGATTCGTATGTGTACATAATATCGAGGAGTTCCTAATCAAAGTAAAGTTACTCATTGCTCCCTAATCTCTCATAAGTTCTCCAGAGATATCGTTTTATAGTGAAAATTATGTTGTTTGAACTTTAGAATGTTATTATACACTAATCTCTTTCAACTTTAATACTTGAACATTCTCTTAGATATGAACTTTTATTTAACATTTACAAACTAACTAGTCACACCGACTTCCATTCAGAATTCTTATCAAAATTGATTCAACTGTTTGCTTCCATTTAATGTACAATATGATTCATCCTCTTTATCTCTCTTGTTTTATTAATTGGATGAAACTAGCCTAGAATGACTAGTCATTACCAATATTATGTATGATGATATTTAAGTAAAACAAATCTTAACAATGTCATAGAAAAAAAATATTTATGTATGTAAATATTAACTTTGATACTGAAACTCATAATGAAACAGTAATAGAAATTGTGGACTAGACTATGGAAAAATTTTTAAAAAGTATTGTTAAAGTTGTGTAAATATGAATGTATGTACTTTTGTTTTTTAACATTTTCATCAGACAGGCGTTGACATTAACATGTTTATCATACTACCTTCAATCATCAATAACTAAGAGGTCTTAATTTCCAATTGCTCTAATTAAAGATTTATATTAGAAAAAAAGTAATTTGCAATAATGAAGATATTACCAAGTTATTTGTATGTATACAGTACTGGTTTTGTTAATCAGACTACTATTAAATAAATGATCAGGAACTTACATGTTGGTCAGATAATTGAAAAAAAAGAAAATCTATAGTATACACAATTAGTAAATATCGTAAATCAATCAATTACCTTATTGAATCATAACTTATAGCCAAAATAACAAGAACAAACTATACAATAGTACAAACTGGTTGTAAAATGAAATCATTTTGTTTTGCTAGACTGAAACAAATGAATTCAGATGGTTTACTTTTTAAGAAGGTGAATTTAATTTGTTCATATGAATAGTGACAATAATAAGCACTTCAATTTTTAAGTATTTTTAATGACTTTAGTTTTGTAAAACTGACAACGGTTCATGATTTTAAGTAAATTCTCATTCAAATATACGGTGACTAACCATAAGGCAGGTAGTATTATTCTGCCATGTTGTCTTATTAGTCAACGAAATCAATGGATCAATATGTATGAATGATTAGACCCAGTGATAGAAATTCAACTGAACCAGCAGGTTATATTTATATTTCTACTAAACAAGGTAGATAGTTAGGGAGACAGACAGAGATAAAACTGACTATTACTTTCCAAGATGCTTACTTAACACAGTGCCGATGCTCATTATTTTTAATAGATTATACTTTTGATACTATACACTAAACAATGGTAATCAACAGAATCACTTCCATGTTGAATTAACACTTTTCTACAGTAGTTAATATAAAAATGAAGTGTGCAGTATGATTAGTTTGGTAATGAATGATCTTTCTTCTGTTTTTAAATAAAGTTATTTCTCTTTGAGATGAACTGACAAGAAGTATCAGCCCTGTAATCTTTAATTAAACAACTATTTCATTTATAAGTGAAATGCATAATCTATCCCATTGTTACTAAATAATTTTCTAAAAGTGTTCCCCGGAACCTTAAAAATGCCCAAAATAAACAACCAATTAACACTTTACAGGTATATTCTGAACATCGATGCATTTATGTTCTCTCATTATCTGATTATTTAGACCAGTAAGAGAGTTACTAATTTAGATATTTTCAAAAAGTCTCCACAGCTCTGGGGTAGCCTATAAATAACACAATAACCATTCGTTCCCGTACCTAAGCAAACCAAAAAAGTAAATCTTCAGCCGTATTACTACCACTTCATTTGTCTATATATTAAAGTCTTTAGAGTGTTTGAAGTGATAATGTTCACCAGTAAGTCGGTATAGTAACTGCTCAGTGTTAGAAGTTGACAATACTGAGTATGTATTATTACGGTCATCACCAACAAATCTGATCCTTACTTATCTCTTTGATGTTCGTATTCAGATAAATTTTCATAATTATTATCATTTCCCCCATTAAAGAAATCCTTTGGCAACGTCGTTGTTTCTTTTAAAGAAACCATTGTCTTTTGAGTTCCAGTTGAACTATCTTGGATTTTATTACTTTGAAGAAATTTCGATGATACACTGGGTGATAACAGTTTTAATGCTTCAACATTTACATTTACTGTTTTAGTATTATTCAGTTGGGTATGCTGTAATGATGTCTGTGGTAGATTTCTTTGATTACTATGGTATGAAATAACTGGACGTGATATTTTTTCATCATCAACATCTTTTTGCATGAATAACAAATCTTTCACACTGAAATGAGTGATGGATGAATGGTTAAATTCCTCACTGTATTTTTTAAAAATATTTATTTTCGACGGAATCTCATTCGTTGGTTGATCAATTGATCTACGTTCGTTTGATAATAATGAAGATGATGGTGAACAGGAGCATAATGGAGAAGATAAAGATGACGATGACACTTTGAGTAGCGACTGATTGGTTGAATAATGATCAGAATTACATATTGACGTATTTTCATATTTTGAGCATTTAAATAGTTCGCGTTTTTGAGTGTACATTTGTAGGCCATGTATTTGATTCTCAAGGTTAGTTATCTAAAATTTGAAGTATAAAATAATTAAATGAGTTTTGTGGAGATCAGCTCAATTTGTGGGCTGTATTCATCAAAGATTTGTCTCTGTTGGGTTACCATTGTTTGTAGCATCTTAGCTTTTAGTGATATCCCAACTGATATCAATCTATGACAAACCTGGCTAGAAATGATTTATCATACGACGGTTTATTTACGTTTTCGTTTCGTAAAGAGTTTTGTACACTGATTTATTCGTGGTTTGTCAGCACAACGCCATACAAACCAGAGTGCTTAACGTTCCAGTAAATACGGTATCGATCCAATTGCTGTGTAGAAATACAATATTCCAGATTTTCGACTTCATATCAACTAGTGATATAGTGTGATCCTTATCCTTGTATCACTGTTGAATTACTATATCACTTCCAGTGTAGCGGACGATACTACTACTAGAATCTGAGTCCTTGTAGTTCAGAGAGCAGTCCTTATGAATGGCTTGGTGATGCTTTTATTCTGAAATTCCATCATGCAGCTAACAAAATATTTCTTCATTAAAAATTAATTTTCCATGACTGACTTATTACAAAAACTTTTAAGTAGATCGTTTGACTCAGTAATTCATCACTTTTCCTATATATCATACTTCAGATACAACAACCCACTCACCAGGTTAGTGTAGACCAAGGCAAGGAATTGTGAAGATGTCTAGCTTTTACATAAGCTAATGTGAGTTAGAAAGTCACCCAACTTTAATCAACATAGTTGTTAGATGAGGTTGGTGATATAATACATTGACCAAGTACAAGTTTATGTACTTCGCTTTGACTGATATTTTTTAATGTGATGGTTGAAGATAACACCCGGATATTCAAGAACTAGTAAGTAGAGCGGAATTCTGGCTGAAGATCTATCAGCCTAAACCTGAATACTTTAATCACTAGACCACTGTTGATAAATATATAGTTTATCTGAATTCCAATCGTGATATTTATTTCCATATATATTGAAACATGAGATAATAAGCTTATGAAGTTATGCTAAATATACAGTCCTGATTAACATATTTCAAAGCCATTCAGGACATAGTAAAAATATCCTGCGACTCTTGCCACTTCACTATAAATTATTAAGGGGTTAAATCTTTGTTAAACAATTAATTCATCAGTATGGTTAGTCAGCTTAGTTTTTCAATTAACTGCTTTAATTAAAATAGTTGTAAGAAAAGAAGTAGAGCATTTATGAACTTTTAAACTCATTATTAGCTTGATAAAATCCAGTTTTGTTTCGCGCAGATGATCAGATAACCATACAGAATAGTACGAAGCCTAAAAATGCGATTTTATACAAAACAGTACGGAATACTAAATTCTAGATTTCTGGTAAATTCGATGAAGGTTTACGTCATAAAAAGGATTCATGGATGGTTCGTTTGATTTTTCATCTTTCAAGAGTTTCAAGACGTCTTAGTACAACTAACGGAGTTATTACGGGATTCTATAGTCATCTAGTTAAGTGGTCAATAAACTATCATGTTATAAGCAATAAAAATAGGTTTGTATCAATAACTTTGTCAGACCAAATATATTCAAACAGAATGGGATAGGTAAATATACAGGACAGTATTGAAAGTGACGTAACAGTATATCATTTCAGGAGATATTCATCTATTTCAATGCAGCTATATTAAAATGTATCAGAATACAACAATGAGTATGTGTCACAAGGCATCACTCGATTGAGGTTGAGTTCATCTAAGCAACAACCCAAGTCACAACCATAGCTGCTACCTTGACGCAGTGGTCGGGCTTGCCTATCGTGATGACCCAACCGAGCTATATTGGCTGGAACATATGTTCCTGCAGATTCTACCATGCCAGGCAGGTCGATTAGAGAACATTAAGACTAAAAGCAGCTACTCAAGCTCTGAGGGTGAAGTCGTACTGCTGACTGTAGAGGGGTGTGACAGCAGTAAGGTGTTTCCCTCGGACAACCAGCATCTGCAGAGATGTTTCCCTCTAACAAGGAAGGAAGGGGTTAGAAAGGGTTGACCCTAAAAATGTCACACCTCACCTTACCCCACGGATTTCCGTCTCCGGCGGTAAGGCCCTTTGAAGAACGGAGCTAACACATTAAAAACCTCCCACAAAAAGGCCGTGTGCGACCGGCCTGAAGCAGTTGTCCCTTGGGCTCTGCGGTCACGCATCCAGGTCTTTAAGACCAACACTAATCCGGTTTTCTCTTCAGGTTCCTCAAGAAATACCCTTCCACGGTGTGGGCAGCCAGGAAGTGACATCAGCCCTCATACCCATAACAGCACACGAGACCAAGTTGGTCACATTCAAATCCTCCCTACACATCCTAATAACTCTCTTATCTCCACGACTAACCCTTCTCACGTCCCTTTATCACCTCGCACCGCTAGGGCAAACGATTCAAGTACGCGGAACGTTATTCCTGATCTCCTGAAACCACACTCTAAACTACACGTAGGAGCTTTCAACGTACGAACACTGTGCCAAATAGGACACCAGGCTTCCTTAGCTAAGACTTTAGAATCTTGCTCCATTGATGTGTTCTGCGTCTCCGAAACGCGTACACAGGATCCTAGTAGTGTCATTCATTTGACCACACCATATCAAAGTAACGAACCAACTCGATTTACGCTTCGTGTATCTGGAAGCCCTGATGTTGCTTCCCGTGGCCTCGCTGGCGTAGGTATAGCATTGAGTCCTAGGGCAGAACTAGCTCTCTTAGACTGGATCCCAGTAGACAGTCGTTTGTGCGCTGTCCGACTAAACGGAGCAGTAAGGACTCGAAAAGATAGGGACACTCGTCGTTGCCTCTTCGTCGTCTCTGCCTACTCTCCCACTGACTGCAGCTCAGATGATGTAAAAGATGAGTTTTACAGAAAGCTTTCCGACCTTCTCCGGAAAGCTAGGCGCTCTGATGTAGTAATGGTGGCTGGTAACTTTAATGCTCAACTAGGTAAACTGAGCGAAAGGTAAAGACACCTGGGTGGAAAAACATCTTTTGACATGGCGGCTCCCTAATTTGTCCCAACGTTGGACCCAAATAGATCACATCTCTATCAGCCACCGATGGACGAGCTCGATAGAAGACTGTCGCTCATTCTGGAGCACGTGCTTAGACTCAGATCATGCTCTAGTGCGAGCGTGTATTTGTCTGCGTCTTACTGGACGTAGGAAACATGCTGCAAGGAAACCCCTCAGGGCCCCACTCAATGATAGTCAAGCTAAGAGTATATTTCAGGAACGACTAGAAAAACAGTTAGGCAGCCATGTAAGTGACGCCCACCTCGAGGCAGCGTGGAATGACATCCGAAAAGCTGTAGAAACAGCAGTGATGTCTGCAAGTACGGTAAACTATAAGGTTAAGGCGAAACAATGGATCTCAGCAGCATCTACTGCACTGATAAATGCTCGAGAACTCATTCCATCTGGCCCTAAACATAACGAAGAGCAAAGTCAGCTTAAGCGCAAGCTGACAAGAAGCCTACGCAGTGATCTCGAACAGTGGTGGGTAGCGAAAGCAAGAGAGATGAAAAAGGCAGCGGCAATAGGTAATGGCAGACAACTGTTCAGACTTGTTAAGGAAACCGGTATCAGGAACCCAACTGTTAGCGAAACTATCTCCGAAAAAGATGGACATATTAATCATTCTCAATCCAGGAGATTGGATCGATGGGCAGAACACTTTAGGGATCAGTTCAACTGGCCCTCATCCACACTTCGGTTTCCCACGATCTCCAATCTACCTGAATGGCAAATTAATCTAAGTCCTCCGACTCTTTACGAAGTTGAAAAAGCTATAGGAAATCTGAAGCGTGGGAGAGCAGCAGGTCCTGACAGCTTTACTCCTGATATTTTTAAGGATGGCGGTCCAGTATTAGCAGCGAGATTGACTGAGGTCTTAGGTAGAATCTGGGAACTGGACGTAATCCCATCTGACTGGTCTCAATCACTGATTGTGCCAGTCTATAAGAAAGGACAAAAGTCCTCCTGTGACAACCACAAAGGAATTAGTTTGACTAATATAGTGTCTAAAATATTAGCTTCAATAATACTTCGACGTTTAACCAAAGCTCGTGAAGAGCAGACTAGAGAAAACCAGGCTGGTTTTCGACCTGGACGTGGTTGTATAGATCAGATATTCACATTACGTCAGGTCCTAGAACATAAACACACATTCAGACGCCCCTCAATGGTAATATTTCTCGACCTTAAGGCGGCATTTGGCTCTGTTGATCGTGAGGTTCTATGGCAGTGTTTGTCACTGAAAGGAGTACCAAAGAAGTACATTAACCTTATAAAGGCTCTCTACTCGAACACAACTGGTCGAGTGAGAGCTTATGGCGGACTGTCATCAGAATTGATTACCTCAAGTGGTGTTCGTCAGGGCTGTCCACTCTCTCCATTCTTGTTTAACTTTGTTGTTGACGTCCTCTTAGAGATGACACTTTCCTCATCTAAATTTCCAGGAGTTGGATTTTTACCGGGAGATTCACTTGTTGACTTAGAGTATGCCGATGACATAGTTCTATTCGGTGAAGACGCTGACAGAATGCAGAGTCTGCTGACCACTCTAAGCAACAATGCAGGCATGTTCGGGATGCGATTTTCTCCCTCGAAATGTAAAATGTTGCTTCAGGATTGGGTTGCACCGACACCCGAGCTAGCGATAGGGAGTGAAGTAGTTGAGCGTGTCGACCGCTTTACTTATCTCGGAAGTCTCATCAGCCCTTGTGGTCTGGTGTGTGACGAAATCTCAGTACGGATACAGAAGACTCGATCAGCCTTTGCCAACTTGCGTCATTTGTGGCGTAGGCGAGATATCCGTCTATCAAACAAAGGACGTGTTTACTGCGCAGCAGTTCGTTCCGTCCTACTTTATGGCAGTGAAACATGACCAGTAAAAGTAGAGGATATTCGTAGGTTACTAGTATTTGATCATAGGTGTCTCCGAATCATTGCTCGTTTATCCTGGGACCACTGAGTAAGTAATGCAATTGTTAGGAAACGGGTACTAGGTAATGATGGCAAATCAATTGCCGATGTAGTGAAACTTAATCAGTTGATATGGCTGGGACATGTGTTGCGCATGCCAGACCACCGACTGCCCCGACGTGCGATGTTTTCTGGTGTAGGAGTAGGTTGGAAGAAAGGTAGGGGCGGCCAGACCAAAACATGGCACAAATCCATGAAGTCACTGCCAAGTGGACTGAGCTATGTTGGTAGATCTAGACTACTTGGTTGGGGACCGCGAGACGAGACCTTGAATGACATGTCTCAAAATCGTTTGCAATGGCTCAGGTGCATCCACTCTTTGTGTTCTTTCAAACTATAATTTTCTGAACTCTTCGTATCCCTTCTTTTTTTCTCTTTCCAAATGTATTTCACTGTATTATACTCCTTAAATAACATCTTCAAACCCTAATCTTTCTGATTACTGCTTATACTCTTATCACCTCTACCACTACGGGATTTGAATCGACAACTGCATCTTTGTGCTAATGTGGTGTGGCAACTCGAACTGATGTACGTACGTACGAAATTCCACGTTGTTACTGACTGACTCACTGATAACCCAAGCTATTAGTAATAAAATTCAACCTACTATTGATAAGTAATAAATTATGTTTAATGATTTATATTTTCCGGTTGTTGATATGAAGGACTGTAATTAATCAGTCACTGTTGGTATATGTTCATTCTGATCAGCTTGACTCGATATCACCGTCTATTTGTAAGCATAAACCTACTCAATACTTTGTTGGACAAAATAGACATCATGATCTCCAAGCAAGTTTGTCTATTCTTGACAAATCATTTATCCTTGTATTATTCATAATATTCATATTACAATAGAATGAATCGTGTATACAACTATGTAGAAAATAAATGGAATACTGAACCATCAACTTCATATAAATGAATTGTCTTTCGATAAATATTAATAATTAACAATCTCCCAAGTCTATAATCATTAGAAATAGTTAATCATTTATGATTAATAAATTAATGACCATTGCGACATGATAGAATCTAAAATCACTGACTTATTATTCACTTACAGTTTCTTGGTTACGTTTAGCAGCTAATTTGTAAGCTTTACGAGATGCTTTATTTTTTTTATTCTCATCTGCGCATTTCATATTAGCCAGCATTATATTTTTAACAGCATTCAATTCAACTTCAAGCCATGAGATAGCTTGTTGTATATCTTTAAAATTATAAGGATTACAAATTTCTTCTTTAGGGTTAATGATAGTAATGATGTTATTCGATTGGCTTGATAATGGTTGTGTTGTATTTGTTAAGACTGTTGATACTGATGACGGTGGAGATGAGGAGAACTGGGCGCCTGTGGTCGTTTCTACTGTTGTTTTCGTAGTTGTTGTTTCAACTGTCTGACGCAGGAAGATTCCAGAATCACATAAAGATGGACTAGAGGCAGATGTATGTATATCATAATTGGACTTCACCAAATTAGTTGTGAAGCGTGACTTAAACGCTAAAGGAATTGATTTGTTCAATTTTTGCATGATAGTACTTTCTTTTACCAACTTTTTAGTTGGTGCTATTAAATTTGTGGTATCATTATGATTATCTTTTATAAAATTAATGGAATTGTTTGGATCCTCTAAAATCTACAAATAAAATTATCGGGACAACTATTATACATACATGATGAGTCGGTAGAGTATAATGATTAAATGAGTTTTTAGATAGGTCTTAGTGTTTAAGTAACTTTGGCAGAATTAAGGAAACCTTCTTACGAAGTACTGTAAGCAGAAGATTAAATGCAATAAAGGAATAATGTTGAGATTCACACTATACACTATAAGCCGTATCTGTTGTTTTAAAATCAACATCCACAAGTACAAAATTCTTCTAGTTTTATATTTTTTAAAGGTAAGTTAAAATCCAAGGTGTGCCATAATCCAAGACAACATATGAAATGTACAGATAGTGACATCTCAACAGTTATATTCTCAGAAAATTATATCAATAACTATAGTTTTTAATTTCTCACTAACAAAACATTTTCCATCATTAACTGATATCAGTCAGGGAACCAATGTAAACGGTCATTATTTCCTAGCTTGTGATTACTTATTAGTGCGAATCTATGACCATGTACATGATCGAATCACACCATTTAGTTTTCAAGAAGAGGGTCATATATTCAGATCGCCAAGTTAGAATCCAATAATCTTTTTCCCAGTTCAGTAAATTTAGGATATAGAGTAATTCACACCAAGCATCAATTCTTATTCCCACAATACTGGTATGATTATTTCTAGGACCGAATAGTCATGGGTAGAAAGGTTTTAGTTTATTTATAAAAAATTTAAATAACTTTATCAAAATCTCATTGAAAAGTAGTATTTACACTGGACATACAAATTATGTCTGCTAACGTAATACATCGCGAATACTTATTTGTTAGTTTATTGGTATGATACAGTTGAGTATGAATACTTTCCAACTGTACTAATTTTTGTTATCAATATTCACCCAAGAAATGGCATATCATTTGATTGAAAACAGCAATGCTAGTCAATATCCATCGATTTAAATATTGTGATATTGTAATGGATTTCTGGTGACTGAATCAAATAATAATGTTAACCTATCTTAACAAATGTCTTATCTAGTGGTTAGTATGACCTAAATGTAGTTGATATCGATAAGCTTAATTAATGCTTATGATAGCCGTCTCTTTTTTATATTTATTTAACAATGATAAAAATCATCATTAAATAACTTTATCGAAGTAAAATCACTTCTGTAGCGTAATTTAAATTCTTCTTACTTGACTTGAACTATCTTCATCACAATTCATAGATTGTCCATGATGTTGATTGCATAAATCTTCTATAAACAATGATGAATGACTAGTTTTCAAGAGACAATTAACTGATGATGAAAGTTTTATACTAGCTCTACGCATTATTCTTGGTGATAACATGAAACTTGTTTCTTGTAGTCGACTTCCACGCATCGGAATGAAATTTGTTGATTTAGCATGACGACCTAAGAAAAACGTCAAAAATTAGTGAGTAGAAAAGAAATAATTGAAAATCAAATTGGTGGAACCAAATTATAAAAAGATACGAAGAGAAGAACTGACATTTTCTTGAGATTATAATATAATATTATCGCAGTACGCTCAAACACCTATCTTCAAATAATTCAATAAATTGTATTGAACGAGATTATGAACCGATCAATCTTAGATCACCAGTGAAAACATGGAAGCAGCTGAAGGCTGTTTCATCATAGTGTAGGACTACTCAGCAGTGCACATCTGTGATCCCACACGCGTATTGTATTTATTGTAGGTGAATAATTATTTATGGTAGCCACAAGTACTCATCCACTTTTACAAGTGACTGACAAAATATTTATCATTCAAGCCAAACCATCACGTTGGTCAATTCATCATACTTCTTGTCTGTCGTTTGGAGAAACTAAGAGTGTTTATATTAGGGTTTGTGCTGAAAGAAATACCATCAAAGTGAAACTGATCGTAGACATTTGAGGTGAAGAGAAATAGTGGCCAGGTACTGAAATGAGACATGTATTAAATAAAGTAATAATTATGGTCATGTATAAATAGTATTATTTTTGAATGCTATTTAACTTTGTGCCCCTTTAACACATTAGGTGTTCAATAAACAAAATAAGAAACTTAGATAATCCTAGTGTTATGTTTTAAAAAGGAAACACAAAACTCGGTATGTTCATAGTTATCATGGAGAAATAACCATTTTCGTTGGAATGGTTGTATTTATTAACATAACCTTATGGGAAGTATATAAAATCACAAGTAATTACAAAGGTTAATAAATGCCATTTACTGGTTAGAATATTGAACAAAATTTTATTTTCAGTTTAATAATTAGTTTAATATTTACTTGGATGGATTTATAAAAATCTATTTTATTTTAAAGGAAATAAAGGACTAATCTATAGACAAAATTGAATATGAATTATACTGTACCATAAACTGATTGGAGCTGAAAATTATGAACAATTGGATTTTTTCTAGATGGTCAATTTGTATTGAGACTCCCTCGAAGTTTGTAAGTTCTAGGTTCCATTCTATATGTGATAGAGTGCGGATAGTCATGAAGGGTTACAAACACGGGCTGACTTAGTGTTTAATGATCTCTCAATTTCCAAGAACCACCAAATGAAACCATTTCAAGTTAAAAATTATCTGTGAACAATTTGATAAGTCATCTAAGATAGAATTCAATAAAACCTATTTGCGATTATTACATCCACCATTACTAGTGAAAACTGATGATAGATTTTTAAAGATAAATTTGCCTAATTCCATTTATTATCCTGCCATATTATAATCGTTTAAACAAACGATGTTTCCAAACCCAATAAAAACTGGGATTTCCGAGAATCTCAATAAAATTTACAATCTATTAACAAACTATAGTGGATGCACAAATGATTGGAATTTAGTAGTATTTGTGGTAACATTTATTGTAGTAGGAAAAAGGAAAGATCATTTCCATTTAAGGATATTTCAATTAGTTGAACGGTCTAACATAATAAATCAACTTGTTTTACAAAACTTGGGTTAAAATGTTTTGTAGTGATCTCATATGATATAGAAATTATATAAATTCCTTAAATGTTTTAAGGTTCTATTTTAAACTGTGTAACGTAAAATAATTTAGATATACCTCAATTGATCGAGTAGGTTTATAATTGTAGAAGAAAGATATATCTTATAAATGAATGTAATAAAAACGTCAGCTCATTAATATCTTATATTCTCCCATTCAAACCAAAGTTCATGTTATGACAATACTGTTGTTACTCAGGCGGAAAGATTCCAATGACTGGAAATGAACTAAAATCCATGAAAACTTTATGGTAGACGAACGGTTCCTTAGATTATTTAATCATTGTTTAACATTCAATTTATAATCAAGACACATGACTAACATATACATTAAACTATTTATTTACGAAAGTACAAGGGGAAAATTACCAAAACAGACACCGTAGTATCAGTTAGTTACTTTATGTGATCGTTGAATGTGACTGTTCCGAGTACGATCCTATATGGAGTCATGGGTTCATCGTCCTCAAACGTTGAAATCAGAACGGATCAATTTTATATTCTACCCTGATTTCCAACGTCTTTACAGCTATCAGTTCATAATCATAATTATCACAATTATCGCAATTATCTCATTTCTCTGTCAGTAATGTGTTCATTTTGATTAGAATCACAATTCATCGACAAGTATATTCTTATATAATGGACCATTTTTGGCATATTAAAAAGTTTGACATTATTCGTTTTATGAACAATAAAAGTTATTTTCGTAGAAAATATGAAGGGCGGTCATATGATCAGAATGTTTTACGTACTATTATTTACTTCATAATATCCCTTTATGAAAAATACGAACCTCTCTCTATATCTTACATTTTTATAAATTGACTGTAGTGGATAACGACCAATATAAACAATCAATTTTGTCGATCATGTGTTATGTATTGAATAAATAAAATGATATACTTCACTCCCATTGTTTTTTGTACTTTTCAATACATGAATATACTTAAAAAAATGCCATCAACATGTGGTGCATTCATTAGCGATTATGATAGCAAGATAGACATGTTAAATCCTTTTTGAAGTTACTTTCACTAAACCTTGTCAAATGTTTGAAATTCAGTTTTCTACTCATGGGATATGACAAATATATTATTACTATTTTAGTATTTTTATAGAACGGATTTAATGTTTGGTTAAATGGTTTGTTGTGAGAGTAGTTCAGTATTGAAGAAGATATTCGTTGCCGATTGGTATCAGCCGGAAAATCGGTAAAAACTAGGATATATTGGACCGTTGTCCATGATAAGAGCCATCCAAACAAACTCAACTAATGTCATCGGAAAAAGCCTAATCGAACAATAATAATATATCTACTTGTACTTAGCTTCTAGATAAATTCAGGGAGGTTTTAGTCAGTAATCAGTAGATAGCATGATAACTGATGATAGAAAAGATTCAAAAAGTGTATTCCATCTAATATGAATGTGTCTATCTGTCTAACATTTATTGATAATCACTACCGATGTCAGTTAACTTCAAACAATATGTATATACAGAGAGGAAGGGAGATGACAAAAAGTTTACTAGTTCTTCTATTTACCTTTATTTTTTAGCCGCAAACCCGAATCATTATTTGTGATCATTTCATAAATTTGATCAGATAAATCATCTCCATGTATTTTCTTGAATGCTTCCAATGCTTCATAATAAGCATGTGTATGCTGTAAATAATTTGCTGGTGGATATCCAGTCAACTCCTTCATATACATATACAAAGATATTAAAAAAAGAAACTAGGATGTAACACAATGTAAATAAACTTAAAAATAAAATAAAATAGGTCATTAATCTACCGGATAATACAGTGATAAGCTTGCACATAATTTATTTGAACAACAAACAATACGAAATATAGGACTCATCAGCAGTGCGCATCCACGATCCCGCACGCAGGAATCGAACCCAAGACCTTCGTCCTCGCACTTGAACGCTTAAGATCTAGGTCAATGATAGGGCCGTCCAGTTCTACCAGGTTTTCAATGGTGGTCTACCATTGATGCACTCATGATATCAATATAAACTCAACAATCTCCACAACCCTATACGGATAATACAAAATATATCGTAGCAATTAAACATGTGCTCAAGAATGAAAAAAACCCAAATAGTTACTCTAGCGTTGGTAAATATTAAACTAAGAAATCAGTATCTACGTTCCTTATTAAATTTTATGATACAGTTTCGAAATAATTATTTGGTTTGAAAGGTATTTTTAAATGTATTAGTTGGAAAATTGGAATGGAACAATCAATAATCGTATCATTTTGACTTAATAAACAATGTTATTAGTATACTAGCTTGAAATTATCTAATCTAAATTTTGTAGTCAACACTTTGAAAATATGTCATTAGTTTGGAAATCGGTTATAATAAACCGATGGTTCTATAAGAAATGAAGGAAGGGCAGTTTCTAGAGATTTCAAATAATAATACCAGATTAAAGTGACTTCAATAGCATTTACTTACAAGATAGTATGTAATTTAACTCAAGAATAAAACAGTGAATTATTCTTCAGAGATCAAAATAGCAATTATATTTTAGTTCGACCAACTTAAAGTTTTCAGCACTCTATCTTTTACTCCATCTGGCATAGTCAGTTGATATAAGCGGTAGTTAGTTAAATATAATGTATATCCAAATTACTTTACTGATCTGAACTTAATAATTATGGGTCATGTATACACCTTCGGAAGTTTCAGCTTAGAATGAAACAGTTTTCTATTGCTTTTCAGTTAACTAGTGAACATTCACTTGATGACTTACTGTGACATAAATAGTCTGTTAGTTTTCTGATGTTTATTGGTGAAAAAATGTTATCCATTAAGTGTTGCCAATGTATGTTTTGTTTTGCTAGATACTATAATCATAAAAGCGTATATCTGAGAAAACTCATTTCCTTTACGAAATTGTTCAACTTACAGCATTCTCAAATAAAAACGACAATTACTTCAAGTAGATGGTAGATATTTTCTTTATAAAATTAATATAACAGTCTACGACGAGTCACTTTAAATTCTGTATGTACAATCTTTATAATTAAGTCTGTAAAGTAAATTATTTGTAGCAAACATTATCTGTTATTTGTTATTTATAATTTTACTTTGGTTCCAAATTTTAAAAGTGGCTAGTCTTCTATAGATTTCCTTGGTCACTATGATGCCTTAAGTTACTCAACATCGGTTTGTATTATTACTTGATCGGAGACTAAAATATGATAAGATTAAGTTTTTTGTCATGATGTTCTTCTACATTGAAATAAAACTGGTAAGCAAATTTCTGTCTTCAAGTTAACATTTAAACTGTATTGTTTTCAGCTGTCCGCCTCAATAGTAGAATATTCGTAGAACCATACAGCCTCGGTTTTACCATATGAATCTTTTTAATTTTACAGCATCAACTCAGATCTTCACCAATGAACACGTAATGTAGCATAAATAACAAGGGAAAACACAATACACACTTTATACAGTTTTTAGCAGCTTTAGAAAAAATAATGAAATTTTTTCACTTATTCATGTTCATTTCATGATGGAATTCTTCGATCTGTTAAACATTCAAATGTTTGATGTACTTTTATTTTAAAAGTAGCACTTATGTGTTAATTATAATCACTATAAATATATGTCCTTAAATATACCAATTGATTATAGATCTAAGTATAAGTTGTTGTTACGTGAAATAACTTACTTGTTATACAAATGTTTCAAATACCCAATGTAGTTTGTTTAAAAAACTAGTAGATTCCAATATTGTACTGAGTACCAAATGCAAGAAATGGATTTTGACTAGGTATGTAGAAAAGTATTAATTTCAGGTATTCTGAGGGCGTAGTTATGATAGGGTTGATATTTGAGCGGAATACCTCAGGTGGAAACTATAAGCGCCTCACAAAATAAATCAATCGTTTCTTACATGAAACATTTGTGGTAGATTAAGTATGGAGGTAGTTGTAAAGTCGCAATAATATCATATAACACTACTCATTACATAAAATCATTTTATTTTAATATTTCTGTCCTGCTAAAATAAAAGTCTGTCAGATTACAACGAGAGTGAAGTGAGCATAATTTAGTTTCCTGTGCGATGATACAAAAGCCATACAATACCCATTCAAACAGTTGACAATTAGTGTCCTTAGGTATGACATGTGGTTTGCACCTTCTACGTAAGAAAAATTTTTATAAGACTGGAAAGTTCTAGTGCTTCCACTTACTCGTAGTAGCAAGCAGATGGGAGTAGTCGAAGAGTTTGTGTATCCGATTAGCTGTTTAAGTGTTGATGGTGGCGTGAGTGATGAAATCAATTCATGCATAATGAAAGCCAGAACAGGTTATGTCAATCTGGGTTATGTTTGACGTCTTCCTGATGTTAGGCCGGCTGAAAACGGTCAGATATACAATGCGTCAGTGAGAGCAGTTTCGATTCGTGCTTGTGAAACCTGGCCTCTCCTAGTTGGGAATGTCAGACAACTCTCTGTGTTTGATCATCGTTGTCTCGAAAGGATTACTGACATTAAATGACAATGCTATGTTACTAATCGCGAGGTTCGATAAGATGTGTTCAGGTAAAGTGATAATAATTGATTTGGTGACACTGCTTTAAAACACCGACTTCGGTGTGCTGTACTTGTAATACGAATGTCAATCAAGCGAATTCCATATCGTGCTTTATTTACCGACGTAGAACTGGTTGGAAAAGCGGAGAGTTGGTCAGTGTATGATATGATGTGTTTGTATGAGGGGAAGCTGTACAGAACCGGCCTCGGTTGGTCATTCAAAATTCTGTAGTTAGAGTCTTCGAGATGGTGTCACACATTGTCTTGAGACGTTATCAGACATGACTCAAGGTAGAAACCCATGGTGATCTCTCTGTAACTTTATTTTACTCTCTTCATAAAAGTGAGAGTAACTTCTTTGACTGAAAAAATCCTTTGTGGTTGTACTTTTTTTTAACTGAACTGATTCTGCCACTATTACTGTTCTTTCACTTTCATACACTAACTTCTGCTCCATTTTGTTCTTTTATTATCCTACTCATCTTTACTTCTTCATCTCTTTACAACTTCATGCTTATTTTGTGACGCATATATTTTTGGTATCCCTTTGAACAAATATTTATGTGTTCAAATAAATAGTAAATAAAATACAGTGTGAGTAATCAAAAATCACTAAATTCTGAATAACTGCAAACTAATCAGCCTAAGACATCTACATTTCAAGTAACGGTATAAAAACAATTGTCTTTCGTACGTTTTTGGTAGGCTGATACTCGACCTTTATCCATAAGTACAAATTGATAATATTATTAACATGTTAAAAAAGACCGTAGACATTCATGTTAAAACGTCTAGATACTAAAAACAGTGTGATTTTGAGCCCTATTAGAGTTATGAGGGTGACTTACTTTTCGTCGCTCATACAATAGGAGGACGCTCGTTTTTGAGAGGGCTGAAATGCAAACTGGGTTAATTTTAGATTTGAAAGCCTGAAAGCGTGACCATCGAGCTCAAGGAAAAACTGCTTAGGGCCGGTCACATACGTCCTTTTTTAGTCGGATTTTATAAGCTAGCTCCATACTTTTAAGGCCTTATCTCCGGGTTCACAAATGTATGGAGAATGGCGAGGCAAGCTGATTTTAAGGGTGATTCTTTCTAGACCTTTCCTTGGTTGTGAAGAAGTATCACTGGTACAGATTCTTGTCATCTAAAGTAACAATCCTACTGTTACCATATCTTTAGACAGTTGTCAGTGTGACTTCGCTGTCGTACCTTGAAATTACTGCTTTTAGCTTTATCATTCTCCAACTGACCTGTCTGACGTGCTAGAACCTGAAGGAACGAGCGTTCTACTTAATATAACTTGACTAGGTTATTGAGACATACAAACCCGTTCACCAGGCCAAGAGAGCATTTATGGTTGGGAGAAAAGGACAGTGTGTAGGCTGAGTTCTATCGGGGATTAAGAGGCAATTCAAACTTCAGCAAATTACGAAGAACGATAGCTCAAAAGTATTGTTCTATTTAAATATGAACTGTCAGAGTGATGTGTTCTAAATTAAAATCGAGCTTCCCTGACTAAATTAGATCAATAATTAACTCTTATTAAATTCAGATGTAAAGTTGAAAACATCAAATCACCAGTGGAAACAGTATGGTAGTTTTCCATTCAGTAATAACTATGAAATGATTTGTTATAATTACATTGTGTCCTGTGTCTATAAAATCGCAAACTATTGCACAAGATAATCAGTCATTCATAAAAAATGTAGATACCTAAAACGGATGTGCACTAACTCAAGATATTAAATTTTGTACCGAGATAGTAAAAAGAGATGAATAAAATTAACTCAGTCTCATATTATCTAGCACAGTTTGAACCAAAATGATTATGGTTACTAGTATACCGTATGTTTATATCTGAGTTTTTAGTACTTTTTAAACTAAAGGAAATGGAAATGTTTATCTTACTTTAAACTAGCTCTTTCATTTCCAAAACATAAATGTTCATTTGTTAAATTTAATATACTTTGTTCACTCGTACACAAATTTGTCTGTTTACACGTAGTGTGAAATATATTACACTTGAAATTTGTAACCTGTTTATTGGGTTTTTTTTACATATATAATGTATACCTAAGTTAAATTATGACAAAAAAATTACATTTTCAAATAAATACTGTTTATTACTGATCTGCATGCTTAGATTCTATAAATGCTACAAATAGATTATCTCTAAGATCATGATTATTATTACTTCTATTATTATTATTATTATTATATTCACCAAATGTAAAGAAATGAGAAAAATAAGTAAATCAAACGTGAACAATTATTAATTACTAATGAATTCTTGCACATATAATCCTAAATATATCTTCCATTTCTATATATTTTCATAATTGGGATGTATTTCATTATCCGAAAAAATGATTATCAATTAACTACAAATTCTCATAAGGGGTTTTGTGGAGATTTTAGTAATTTCAATAGTTGAAATCATGAGTCAATTGAAGCTAGACCACCATGAAAAACCTGAAAGCACTGAACGGCCGTTTCGTCCAAGTATGGGACTCCTTAGTTCACTGAAGACAATGGTGTACGGTGGCGAAATTTCGTGGATTAGTTAAAGTTCGACATCAACACCGTTGGATGCCAGCTCAGTGGTTTAGTGGCTAAGCGCTCGCGCGCGAGGTTGATAGGTCCTGGGTTCGAATCTTGCGGGGGGTCGTGGATGCGAACTGCTGAGAGGCCCCATATTAGGACGTAACGTCATAGATGTATACTTGTTGAAATTTATAGATCATTCTACACTCGACTCATATATTTATCTTAGATAATTATAAAAGTGTTTGTGGTCACTCATTTTATTCTTTCACTATTCTGACTGAAGATTGAAACACTATAAGATAATTCAGTAAAAATGGTTAAGTACAATAGGACACACGATATAAAGTTATCACAGAAAAAACAACGAAAATACATTGATAATAACTCTTAATTAATGAAATGTCAAATGTTTTTGTTTAGTACTTAAATATAGGGAATAATAATAAAAAACATATTTTATTTACTCTGAAAAAGTGGCTTACATTAAGTTACGAAACGGCAGAAATACATTTTTTCTACTCATTGGGACATAACAATAATATATTTATTATTAACTCGCTACCCAATTTATTTGAAACTATCAAATTCAACCTTGGTATGGATACCTATTACTTACTTACTTACGCCTGTTACTCCCAATGGAACATAGGCCGCCGACCAGCATTCTCCAACCCACCCTGTCCTGGGCCTTCCTTTCTAGTTCCATCCAATTGTTGTTCATTTTTCTCATGTCTATCTCCATTTCCCCGAGTCATGTGTTCTTTGGTCTTCCTCTTTTTCTTTGGCCTTGAGGATTCCATGTGAGGGCTTGTCTTGTGACGCAGTTGGGTGCTTTCCTCAATGTGTGTCCTATCCACTTCCAACGCTTCTTCCTGATTTCTTCATCTACTGGGATCTGGTTTGTTCTCTCTCACAGTAGGTTGTTGCTAATAGTGTCTGGACTCGAAGTATTTTGTGTAGATAA